ATTCAAGTGTCCTTTTAGTCTGGTCCAACTTCCAGATTATCTCAATGAACACTTTATAAGGAGAAACAATTGCACTGCAAAAGATATTACTTTACCCTTTTGGTAGCTGGATTAAAATAAAAAGATTTTACATTTCATCAAAATAAATTTTGTGTTGCCTTTATTAGGTTTTTAATTACTTAAAAAACTGAGCTTTCAAATGATTAAGATTTTTTTTTTCATTCATGCAACTTGCTACATTATTGTTGAAGTCTTTTGATTATCACTCTGGTTTAATGAGTTATTATTTTACAGTGACCCATGCTTCTGTTTTAATCAAGTGGCTTTTAAATTTATACATAATATTTATATACATTTATGAGATACATGTGATATTTTGGTAGATGAGTAGAATATATAAGGATTAAGTTAGGGTACTTAGGGTATCCATCCTCTTCAATGTTTATTATTCCTATGTTTTGAGAATATTTCAAATTGTCTCTTTAGATATATTAAAGTATACAGTACATTGTTGTTAACTATAATTCACTCTGCTCTGCTATAGAACATTAGAACTGAAAATGTTCTTCTGTCATTTATTTGAAAGATTGTTTTTACTCAAACGTTTTGTCTTTCAGGCATAAAGAAAGTTTCTCTCTTGGGCTATCTATAATTTACAGTAATTTGATAAAATATACTTTTGTGAAAAAAGATAAAAGCATTTGTTATTTTTTCTCCTTACTTGATTCCTGCAAAATTTTAAACATACTTTTTAGTATTCTTATGTCAATATGGTTATTTACGTAAAGTTATTTCCATAAATCCAATAAAATTCTGCTCTCTCTTAATAGCAGAATACAATTAAAAACATAGGTTACATTACTAAGGCTTTGTCTGAAACATCATATTTAACAATATCCATAACATGCTTAACTTTGAAGGTTCACAGTCTTACACTGAGTATATAAAAACTTACTTCCTAGGAGTCCCAAAGACCTTAAGACTATAAATAAAATCTAAAGTTTGCCTTAGTTTGGATTTCCAGGCTCAAGAGGTTTTAAAATCTGAATTTCTGTATAATCAATGTAGAAAAAAAGTTGTTTCTAGGAAAAAACTATAATACATCTGTTGTTAGATCATAACTCTGTACATTGTTTCTGGGTTCTTGTTATCCATATCTAGACTAGACAAAGCCATAAATTATTCTACATTCCTCTAATCCAATTTTCTTGCAGCAAAGTACAAAAATGAGAACTTCTCTGTTCCTGAAGCCATAAAGCTAATAAGCTGCAATTAGATAATTTTTAAAACACATCTTGTGCCTAATGTATGGATCACACAAAAAGTTTACCAAACCACCAGATGCCATAATCAGAGACATTCAAACTATAAACCGGGATGAAAAGTTGATTGTTTTCTTGCTGTCATCAGCTTTCCCCAAGATATTGGAACAAAACTCCACACCGTGAGGAGCAAAATGCTGCAGGTTTTCCTCCTTAAGGTTTTTCATTTGGCAAGATAACATAGTAATTAAAATTCAAAATTAGTAACTGTTTTAGACAAGTCGACAAAGCCTGACCTAAGAAATCCCTTTCGAAAATTTAGTGAATATCTTTGACAATATTCCTAACACATCTTTTTCTTCAAATCGCATGTGTAGTCCCTCTTACAAAGGTGACACTCTGGTTTAATTCAACCCAATTACAAAATGCTACTCCGTGACTGCAGACAGGTCTCAGATCTTTGGATTTGTCTAGTTTTAATTTGGAAGCATTGTAAAAACTAAACTTGTTATATTGTTGTTAATTATTGTTATATTATGATTTTTTAAGCTTTATTCTTATTGCATATTAAATCATTATGAAGCCATCTGCCCCAACGAAACATTGGCCCGATGCTTTGAGATGATTGCTGATGCCAATCAAAGTGTTAAAATACTCATAAAACTTGATGCTAGACTCCAAACAAACTTTTTTTTTTTAATTTTGATCTTTCTGTTGAGAAAATATGGGCCAGATCCCTGACACAGACTTTCATACCTTCCTCTCATGTGAGACAGAGACAACCAAGACAGGTCTATCCTGGCACCAGAGGCAATTAAGCCTAACTTCAAAATGGTTGACTACCAATGTGTTCAGAAAGAGATCTTGAATAAAAGAGAAAGATGTAAAAGTTGATCATATAAATTAGGTCATTTTATCCTACTCAACCAAAGCAGAGTAGACAGGCCAGGGGGCGACAAAAGCACTTAGTGTACATATCATTGCTCCAAAAATTCAATTTTCTATAAGCCTGGCTGCTAAAACTGCCTGGTGTAACCTGAAACCAGTTTTTCCAATAGCTACTAAAATAACCTACTGTGATTCTAAGATTACTTTCCCCTGCTACTGTCATTCACCAATCAGAACTTGCCAGCTACCCAAAATTTTACTAGGGCCAACGTGCTTTCTTTCAAAGCAATACATAATATTTCTCCCTTTAATAAAACCTCCACCCTTCTCTTTGTTCTTTGAATATACTTAAGACTACCCAGTTGCTATATATGCCCCAGTTTACAATTCTTACTTTCTAATCAAAACATTTTATACTTACAGATTCGTCTCTATATTTTGTTTGACATTGACAAATCCTGTGACAGGTGGTAGTTTTATAAAGTGAAGCAAAGTATCCCATTGAAGTTAGGCTCCTACCCTCCCACAGAGACTGGAAAATAGGGGCTCTATCATCCTTGGGAAACGCATTTCAAAAGGGTGGCTCCCAGGTCCTTTAGAAAGACATTCCTGGGTTATAAAATCTGTTAAGAGGATTTTTTAAAGTTTGAAATGTCAAAGGGGCAGAGTAAAAATTTACAATTATAAGTTTGCTAAAGTAAATGATCTAAGAAAAGGGAGGCTAGGAACCTATGGTTGAGAAGAAACCTGTTTAGAAATTAACCTCACAGCCAGGCTCAGCGATTTATGCCTGTAATCCCAGCACTTTGGGAGGCCGAGGTGTCCAGATCGCTTGAGTCCAGGAGTTCAAGACCAGTTTGGGCGACATGGTGAAACCCCAACTCTACAAAAAATATATAAATTAGCCAAGCATGCTAGTGCATGCTTGCAGTTCCAGCTACTTGAGAATCTGAGGCAGGAGGATCATTTGAGCCCAGGATGCAGGGGTTGCAGTGTGCTGAGATCATGCCATTGCACTCCAGCCTGGGTGACAGAGTGAAATCCTGTCTCGAAAAAAAAAAAAAAAAATTACCCCAAGCTTAAGGGAATATTAAGGCCATCTCAGTCACTCCCCCAAATATGAATTAACTACAATGAGAAAATAATAACTTTACAGTGAATTCAAACAGAAATGGTATCAATCATGTGAATGAAATAAGTGTAATCATTAGTGGAACAAATAAAGCTGTGTGCCACCTGAAAGGATGCAGATAGAACAAAGCTTCACTGCGTCACCTCTATGCAATTTCTGCTAGGAAAATACAACTTGAATCTTACCATGAGAAACAATCAGAAAATTTCAGTCGAAGAACATTTTACGAAATTAACCAATGTGCAATATTCAAAAATGTCAAGGTCATGAATGTCAGGGAAAGCTCAGGCACTCTTCTGTATTGAAGGAGGCTAAAGAGATACAGTCATCAAATGCAGATGTTGATTCTGAGTGGGATGCTTTTATTCTAAGAAACATTGTTTTGATAAATAGCAAACCTTGAAGGAAGTCTGGGCATTAGATGATAGTTCTATATCAATGTACATTTGCTGATTTTCATAATGTTATTGTGGATATGTAGGAGAAGGCCCCTTTTCGGATGGAAATACACAAAAAGTAAATAACAAATGGAATGTTATAATAAAATGCATCAATTTGGCAGCTCATTCTCAAGAGGTCCGAGAAAAGCAGTATATTCTTTTTCTGCACCTAATATCTTCCTATAAGTTTGAAAGCTTCTAACTTTGGAAATAAAAGTGCAACATATAAAAATTGTATAAAATATAAAACAAACAACACATTTAACACTTTTACCTAGAAATTCTACTTTTAGGGTTTATATCATAGAAATAAAGGTGTTACTATTTAAGAAAATATTCAGGATGTTTATTGTAGCCGAGTGCAGAGCAGCATAAGCCAGGAAACAAAATTAATTCTTTGATAAAAGGGCAAGAAATGTATAAATCCACATTATAATTCAGCCCTTAGAAATATAAGAAATTTTGCTTGGGACATTATTAAGAATTTAAAAAGCTGAGGTACAGGAAAAACAGGCATCATTTGATCACATTTGGCATAAAATAAACAATGAATAGATATCCTGGATATAATTACATGAAGTCATATTGGTTTATATTATCAAGTAAAAATTTGGAAGGGTACATTTTGATTTGTTAACAGGGGTTACTCTGAGGTTGGACTAATGTTGATGATGGCGGGAGAAGGGAGAAGAGATTTTTGCATTTAACTGCACTTTAAAATGTTACACCTGGAAATTAACGTTAGAAACTAATAGACCAGCTCGTCTCTTCCTTTCTCCGCCATTGTGGTGCGTGCTTTACTCTGTTTCTCGCCATGTCTTCTCACAAGACTTTCAGGATTAAGCGATTCCTGGCCAAGAAACAAAAGCAAAATCGTCCCATTTCCCCAGTGGATTCGGATGAAAACTGGTAATACAATCAGGAACAACTCCAAAAGGAGACATTGGAGAAGAACCAAGCTTGGTCTGTAAGAAATTACAAATGTAATGGCGCACATATTTATGCTGTCTGAAGGTCACAATCATGTTACCAAATCAAGCTGAAAAATGTCGCCGCTATCTGGAGAAGTTTGAACAGTTTCCTTTCTGTATCTGTTATAAAGGCATTAGTTAGTATAACCCACAGTGCTTCCATTATTCATGTCAAAAAAAAAAAAAAAAAAAAAAAAAAAAGGTTTTGGTTGCCTGGGTTCACTTCTAAAAAAAAAAAAGAAAGAAAGAAACTAATAGGCCAAAAATAGTGATCATTGATTATTTCACTATGAATTTTGTCAAACTCTTAATACTGGCAAATCCATTTGAAAACACTGCCGCAGGTTTCAGAGTAAATTTTGCTTGCCTTAATGGCAGCACAGCTGTTTTCCTTTGCTGGTCCCTTTATGAAGAATCTGGAGAGGAGAGAATAAATACTTTGTTAATCATTGTTGCTGAAGACATCTGTGTCTTCTGCTAATATCCTCTTTTAAATAAAAAAGTAATTCAAAATTTTAAAATATTTTTACCTACTTGGATTCACTCACACTTACAAACTCTGCAACTTAGCCTTGTTACCTGTGGTTAGTCAAGAGTTGCCAGAGAGTCTGCAAATAAGAGGTAAGAATAAATTTCCCTCCACATTCCCATTCTCGTATTCCTTTTCTTGGGCCACATGGTTCAGTCAGATTAAAAAATAAGATGAACTCCATTTGGACAGCTCACTTAACAATCTCTTTTGCCTTCTGATATCTGATTGTATAAGGATGATAATAATACTTCATGGTATTGTTACAGTGGTTATATGAATTGATGTTTGTAAATAATCAATATACAAATCGACCTATGTATGACCTAAATAATAAATTGCACATTTATTGCATTATTTACTTATAATGTAACATATTTAAAATGTTAACAAAGTTATCTATAAAATAATGTAGTGTTAATGATATATCCTGTGATAAATTTGTTTGACCCATGGAAAAAGTTCAAGAAAGAACCTTGGAAAAGGTGTGCATGATCTTCAAAGCTTCCAAGTGGATAAGGACAAGTACTGAATTTTCACATTAGAAAATACACTTTGTCCAAGTTTAGATTTAAATTTTGTACTGAAAACATTATGGAAAAAATTCCTAGGCATGATCAAGAGTTAAAACTCAACCCTAAAGGCAGTGATGAATGGATTTGGCATGAGGACAAAACCAAGTTTGTCAATTTCGTGTTGTTCAGTGACACAACTCTGCTCTCAGATGACACACATCAGTAATTTTATGCTGCATTTCAAATAATGTTTTTATTCACCTGTTATATGACTTAGTGCACTCAGATAGAAAATATGTGATATTTAACAATGAAATAGAAATAAGGGGAAAATAACACAATAGCACCATTAAGTTGATTACGATAATGTATTATTTTTCTATCACTACTGTGACAAATTACTACAAACTTAGTGGCCTAAAACAAGTCTAATTTATTATCTTACATTTACGAATATCAGAAGTCCAAGGGCTAAAATCAAAGTGTCTGCAGAGTCACCTGCGGGGTGCACTAGGGACGAATCGGAAGCCACCCGTGTGCCTTGGCTTGCAGAGGTGCTTTCACATCATGTCAATCTCTGTGTTCCACTTCCTATCTCCCAATCTGATTCTAATTCTACTTCCTCCCCCTTCTAGGGACCCTCGTGATTTAATCGGGAGCATGCAGATAATCCAGCATAATATCCCTATCTCAAGAGTCTTCATTTAATCATAAGTGCAAAGGCTCTTTTGCCATATAAAATAACATATTCACAACATTTTGGGAGTAGAATGTGGACATCTGGGGACCATTATCTTGCCTACTAACGTAGGAATAGGATTTTGAATTCACCTGTTTTACTATTTATACTTTCAATTAAATATTTTATTATAAAATAAAGCACACAAAAATGTTAATGGAACTTTAAAAATCAATAACTCCATGCATCGGTTCAGAGACTTTTGGATAATCTTGCTCTATGTTGTATTTATTATTTGTATTTTAACATTATGATAATTACATAACACAAAAATTGAACACTGGTATTATTTTGTTACTGAAGATGGCTAAAGAAAACATTAGGAACTTTAAAAATAGGAGACTGTGTCTGGGTGCGGTGGCTCATGCCTATAATCCCAACACTTTGGGAGGCCAAGGTGGGTGGATTACAAGGTGAGGAGTTCAAGACCAGACTGGTCAAGGTGGTAAAACCATGTCTCTACTAAAAATACAACAAAATTAGTTAGGCATAGTAGTGGGTGCCTGTAATCCCGGCTACCTGGGAAGCTGAGGCAGAGAATTGCTTGAATCCAGGAGGCAGAGGTTGCAGTGAGCTGAGATCATGCCACTGCACTCCAGCCTGGGTGACAGAATAAGACTCCGTCTAAAAAATAAGGAGACTGCAGCAATCTACTTTTCTATATAAAGTGTAAGAAATTTTAAAATCATAAATCACCATTATTGTTCTCAAATCCTTTGCCTTTAAAAACCAAATCAAAATATTCATCATTACTCCTATAAATACTAAATTAATTTTCATTCTTTCAAATTCCGTAGTACCAGTAACTATTTCAGAGTTGAATTTGGTGGCCCTAGAGGTGCATTCTGGAGACATATTCTACAATAGATGATAAATTGGATCGCCTTTTATGAAAGACTCACATCTCTGGATCTACTGGAGAACCATCCACCCAAGTCCATGTCATTTTCAAAGAGGTAAAGTTAAGCCCAATCCATACGTAGTTTGATTGCCTTAGGTTTTTCTGTATAAAAGCCTGAAATGTGGACAATGAGGGACTAAATGAGCAGAATATTTTAGCAATTCAGAGGCACTGAAGATTTTAAATTTTACTGCAAAAAAAAAGCACTCTGCATGAAGATTCTTATGCAAATCAATTCATACCTTACTTATACACACATTATATCATATATATGTTACACACACATACACAGTTGAAAGTTGAATATGTGAATTTAAGCCATATCTAGCATGAGAAGTGAGGCATGCCCAATTTTAAGGGTGCCCAAAACTCGATAATCAAGGTAAATGCAATGACTTAATGCAAATGACTTAATGCAAAGATGGAAAGATATTTAAGAAAAGCTATTTTTAACTGCAAAAAGACTAATGCCATAACCCTGATACTGGCCAGTTACCATTTCAAGTTGGTCCTGTATGATTAGCAGATGAGATTTTCTTTCCAAACAATACACGTAACTGTCACTCCAACTTTTCATCTCATTAGAGAACCAATAACACTTTCCTTGATATTTGAGCCATTCTGATGGGCACAGTACTACAGAAAAATGTAGAAAACAAAATGAAATTAAATTATATATGCACCTCTGAAAATTGACAGTGAGAACAATACTTATATGTTGTATGAACAAGAGTTGACCTACAATAAAATTATTTATAGCAAATTGTCCAGACTCAAAAGATGGCCAAAACACAAATGATAAGCACTGGGGACTAAGACAATTAATTTAATGAGATGAAGGAAAACCTAGACATAATGGGATTTTTTTTTTTAAGGTTTGCATGTTTATTTATAATTACAATTTACATTACTCCAACAGAGGAGCGCTCCCCCACCCCCCCCCACCGCTATGTTCTAATTCTTAGCCATGAAGTCCTACAAAAATAAACTCAAGCTTTTACAGTAACTTAATGAATACAGAACTAAAGCCTTTGTAGCTATTAGAAGGGTTTACTTACCAAGGTGCTTATGTTCAACAAAATGACCTGTCACTCAGGACGCATGCGTATACTAAAGTTCTGATCCATCGACTCATGCAACAAATGTAGACCTCAAATGTAGACCCTGCCCTCCCTCCACCAACCTTTAAAACAGAAACACAAAAGAACGCTGTACAACAGAGGGGAAATATGCTTTTGGTTAACTGACCTTGCAAAAAAGACTGGCTCATTTCCAAGTAGACGAGAACACCAAAGTGTGGGACCAGAGTCCAGCAATGACTGACTGGCACAGGTCAGAGCCTGGCAGGGACCACAGAAGGGCAAAGGCGCCACAGGGGCTGATCCCAAGTTCCAACTGCTACCTGGAAGTTTATGGACACCAGGCTCTGTGCAGCAGCTCTGTGGCTGGCATCCGGGGCCGCTGGCCACTACTCCCAAGTGCTTCTAATCCACCCACCCCTGGCGAGTCCCAACCTTGACAACATTGCTGTGGGTGTCTTCAGGGTGGTCTGGTTCAGTTATGCAACATGATCCATAGCACAACCCCTTCCGTGCCCTTCACCCACCCGCCCCCCTCCCACACCTGTGCTGGCCCTGCCTGACTCCTGAGACCCCACCCTTGGCAGTGGGGGTGCCAGGCCAGCAGCACCAGGGGCCAGGGTTACAGAGAGGCACTTGACTGCCACATCTGTCAAATGAGATTTGGTTTCACTTTTAAAAGTCAAAGCTGTCATTTAAAAAAAAAAGTCACAAAGTAAGGATTCAGCTTTCGCTATAGAAACCTTTATGCAAAATACCGAAACCTTAGAATTAGGCTATGCGCAACTAAAGGAAACATAGGTAAAGACACCTCAAAGAGGTTTACCCATGAATACTTCCCCAAAACCAGTGGTTCTAACTCAGACCTTGTCCAGGTCAAGCCCAAAACATACGCAGCAGTATGGGAATCTTCCAAACTCCGTAAACAAAGTGACCACGAGTACCTGTAAGTGCAGCGTTTTCCTTGTGTCCTGACACACAGAATCATTTCCGCGCCACTTCAGTAGGAGCCTATGACTACGTCCTCCCGCCCTGCCAGTTCCAGCTCTGTGGGAAGTGGGGTTGCGACGGGTGGTCCCATTGCCCCTGCCTCCTCGCAATGCACCTCGAGAATGCGGCCACGAGGAAACCTCCCTGACACCCCCAAGGTCTCCTTGTTGAGCTTCCTCTCTTCGGCCCGCGTTGTCCGCCTGGAGCTGGTCTTGAGTTCAGAAGAGATGTTGTCAAAGAACGACTTGGATTTGTCCTGGCAGCAGCTGGGCGCCAGAAACTCGCCGCTCTGGGTCACCGCAGCCGGGTCCTTCTCTTCCCCCTTCTCAGCCTTGTCATCTTTAAAATTCAGTTTCTTCTTAAACTCCTTGTCAAGCTCCTCTCGGTTGAACTGGGCATTGGCACTCTCAAAATCAAAGTCACCCTCAAATTTGATTGTGTTTTCCTTGACCTTAGTTGGACGGTTTTGCCCTCTGGAGCGATTCCTCGTTCGCCTGTTTGCTGATCGCCTCCTCTGAGGTCTTTCGCTCTCGTGATTCACCTGCCCTTGAGTTGGCACGGCTGCCAGCTGGACTACATCGCTGGGGGTCTTGCTGCTGGCGGGGTGGGGGGGGGGGGGGCGCTGACGACTGTTGAGCTGCGTCCCTGTGGTGCCCTTGCCAGGTAACAACAGCCTTTTAGCATTCAGGTTTTCAGCAGAACCAGTTGGATACCCTGCTCCACCACGGGCCTCTTGCCGACTGGGATGGATGGAAAACCAACTCCCTTGGCAGTGAGCGGCTGCTGTGGCTCTGAGGACAAGTGAAACTGTGAAACGGGCTGGGGAGATGGAGAAAAGCCAGGGCTGGAAGCAGCGGCTGAGGCTGGAGGGCTCACCAAGTTCTCTAGACCCAGGGAGGCGGCTTCCTGCCGGCTGAACAGGGAGCTGGCCGCCAGCGGGCCGCCGGGCGCAGTCCCTCGGAAGGGCTGTTTAAGGCACGTGCGGCTGGAAGGGCAGGGGGAGGCGGGGCGCAGGGGAGACGCAACGACGGCGGGGTCCCGCGGGAATGTGTGCTGCGCTGTCGGAGGTTCACTCGCAGTGATACCTTTGACGTCACTTTCCCAGAAAATGATGTACTCATAAATCTCTTCCCTGGGGGGAGGAGGCCTAGCCGTGGGACGGCCTTCCGTGCCGAAGCACCTCACTTTGGCGAGCGCCACGGTGGAGCTGCCGGTGTGGATGGTGCAGAGGATGCCCTCGTAGCAGACCTGCGCCTTGGAGATGAGGCTGATCTTGCTGCCCAGATACGGGGTGCCTGAGGAGCCGCTCCCGGCGGCGGCCGGGTCGCGTCCGGCCGCGGAGGGGGTCGGGGGACGAGCCTGCTCCGCCTCCGCCAGCTCCTGCGCTCCCCCGCCCTGCCGCCGCCCGAGGGGCCTGCACGGGCCGACATAATGGGATTTTTAATGCCAAGATCTATTATATGGACTAGAATAGCATGAACAAATTAAAATGTATATTTCATTAATGCTGTTTGAGATATTAGGTAAAATATAATTTGTATCACTTAGAATTTATCCACACAGTTGTTTTTTTAACTTTTATTTTAAGTTCAGGGGTACACGTGTAGGTTTGATACATAGGTAAATTTGTGTCATAGGCGTTTTGTGTACAGATTATTGCAACATCCAGGTATTATGACCAGTACCCGTTAGTTGTTTTTCTTGATTCTCTCCCACCTCCAAACCTCCACCTCGAGTAGGCCCCAGTGTGTGTTGTTTCCCTCTGTGTCCGTGTGTTCTCATCATGGATATAGAGGCAGGAGCAGAAGGAAAGATCCTCTCCAGAAGCTAAGGAGAACATTGCCACTGTTGTCATCTAACCCTAGTAAGTATTGTAATTGTTTGATCAATTACCAGAGATTATCCAACCTGGGACCCACTTGTCTTTTGGGGTCCAATATAAACTCTCTTGTTCTCAGGGCTCACCCTGAAGCAGGGGCCTTGGCTGTAGGTGGTTTTTATGGCCTAGCAAAGAGGTAGCCTTGCTATCAGTAGTAATTTTGATTCAAGACAGGTGAGGTGTTATTTGTAGAATTAGCACACAACATTTAACTAAGTCCTTCGTGAGTTTCTATGAAATCCACGGCATCTATGGACTCTTGAATTGTTTTAGCAGTAGATATCACTGCCAGTAAAGAAGACTTAGAGATCTGCCACGAGGCTGCCAAAGCATGTTTGTAGAAACAAAGACCAATGTGCTAGTTTTTGCCGCCTGAGCCAAGGTATAACAGTTGGAACAAATAATAGACTAACTGAAAAGTGTGAGGGGGAAAGCTTGGGAGCTGTTTCAGTGGATAAAGACTTTGAAAAGCTCCCACATAATCCTGAAAATCTGGAAGGCCAGTCACAAGCCCTGGGCTGAGTGCATGCTCAGAAATTACCTAAAAATGTCCTGAGATCTCACCTCTGGCTGACCTTTAAGCTCTGCACACACAAATACTGTGCATATCTATATTTACAGATATACATCTAACTACAAATATTAATATACATATAAATATATACGTATGTATATTGATATATATACACACGCAGTGGACTATTATTCAGCCATGAAAACGAATAAGATGTGGATGATCTTTAAAAATATCATGCTAAGTGAAAGAAGCCAAAGACCAAATATTGTGTGATTCTATTACATGAAAATCCCGTATAGGTAAATCCATACAGACTGAAAGAAGATTTGTAGTTGTCAGAGGTTAAGGGGAGGGAGAATGGAGAGTGATTTGCTAAGTGGGTATGCAAAGGATTTCTTTTTGGAAAAAGTGTTTCAACTAGATAAACATGGTAGTTGCACAATGTTTGAATGTTCTAAACATCATAAAATTATTTACTTTGAAAGGTTCAACATTTTGAATTGTACCTCAGTTAAAAAATCAAAAGGAATATGAAATAAATATATTATAGCTAATATACAGTATTTATACCTACTTTAATTAATGTTTAATGACATGTATATGATTCTATGTTTACCTCTAAAGCTGCCTTACCTTTTCTAAGGTGTCATTGCACTGATAACCAACATAATGACAGATCTTACAGAGAGACAATAAAATATGAGTTAAAGCTAAAATATTTCAATTGGTTTGGGACTTATATATGTATAAGCCAAGTGAAGAGAGTATCAATAAGTAGAAGATAAAATATATCAAATTTTTACATATTACAAAGGAAGCAATACAAACCAGTAGATTAGAAAAAAATCCTGTGATAATAATTATACATTTCTCTAGAAATTCATAAAATATTACCTCATACAATAAAATAAATGTCAAAATTCTCAGAGGTAAGTATTAAAAAGTTAAACTTAGATGTTTAAAAATAGAAGATTGTGTTTTCAAAATGCTTCTGTATGACTGGAATTTCTAAGCTTAAAATCTAAGTTAAAATCATAACAAATAATTTTTTAAACATTGACTTTTATCCAGTCTGTATTTCAGAAAAAGAAGAATAAATCAGCAACAAACAAGAATGGCTACTTACATACTGCTTTTCAATAACAACTAACTCTCCATATTCATATGTATCAACTTGATTTTAACCTCCTGGAGGGCAGAGCCTATTTCTCATGTTGTTTTAGAATTCTTATCCCACTGCAACGAGTTTAAAGATATGGAATTTGGGAGGGATAACATTAGGAGAAATATCTAATGTAGATGAGAGGGGAATGGATGCAGCAAACCACCATGGCATGTGTATACTTGTATAATAAACTTGCACATTCTGCACATGTACCCCAGAACTTAAAGTATAAAAAATAAAATAAAAGTAGATTTATACCAAATCTTTACTTGTTAGTTTAATCTATTTCATACCTGTTCAATAAGACTTCACATTTAAAGAGTCCAAAAATTAAAATTAGGATAAGCCAAAGCCTGAGACATACCTGTCTGGTCTGTAGATCTCAAAATACAGAGGTCCTTATTACTTATATTTCTTCTTGTGCCATTATTCACTTTTAGGTCTCCAGTATCCTCACACTGGGTGATATTTGAATGACTTCCTTTTTGGCATTTTAGCAATATTCCCTGAGAAACTTGAATACAGGACTATTTTAAGATTAGGTAAATATCTTCTCTATGGAATGTCTCAGAGACACATTCATTGGAATTATTCTGATGATTGGAACAAGAAATAATCAAAGGAGTCACTAGGATCTTTAAAAAATTTTCATGTCTACTGATGAAAAGAATTCACAATATTCCACAATAAATTTATTTATATAACACGTATTTGGTGAGAATCTATTCTATTCCACACGTTCCTGTGAACTGGTAATACAATCGTGAATAAAGCAATGCTTCTTCTCTTGGAAGTATATAAGCTCTTCTCATCCTTTCTTAAAGTTTAATTGCAACCTCCAATACTATAGTCAATACATTGTACCATAATTACTTAATACCTGCTTCCCCCTCTAGAATATATATTCCTCACTCTGGCTATTCTTTTTTTAAAAAACATTGGGGAATTTGTAATAATATTTAGAGTGTTATAGTTGCACAGTAAATATTTGTTGGCCAAAAGGAAATGCAAACTAAATACAACCTTAGATAAAATGTATTAAAATATTTAAAACAGTAAAATTATATCTATGGCAAGTATCTGAGAAACACAGAATAATGGTTTCAAATACCACACATACACATGCACACACACGCACACACACACACATACACACACACAGTTTCTCTGTATTAGACTGTATGCCACTTGAGAACAAGATACTTACCTGATTTTACTACATATTTAATATAGCACTGTGGAGTGTACTAATAGAGTTTTACATGCAGTAGCTTCTAATTCAATCTCGGTTAATGTAATGAAGAATGAATGATTATAAAAAGATTTGTGAGACACAAGCAAACATCTTTCATATTTTTATGAAATTAGGATCTTCTAACTTACCCAACAGGATCAGAGAAATCAAAGTCAAAGCCAGAATACCATTCATGGTTCCAGATATTCCCAGTAAGATTTTATACCAGTACAACATCGCTGAATAATCTGAGACATTAATCACATGAATTAGTTTAGAAAAGTGTTTCCAGGAAGCAATAAAATAGCAATTGTAATAATAGGATTGTACAAAATATTAGTTTTGGGTTTCAAAGGTTATTAGGCAATCAAAAGCATGAAGTCTAAGTGAATAGAAAAACATATACATTTATTTAATAATGATAACACTCTGAATGGTCAGAAGCTATGATACATATCATATCAAATCTTAAGAAATTGCTAATATTTAACACTATTAACTGGTAGAAAGAATTTTAATCTATACACCAAATAATTTTCCAACCACAGACCCACACGCTCATGTATATGCACATTCATTTATAGATAATGCATGTATGTCCACACAAATACTTTCTAATTAATAATTAACATAACATTTACAAATCCTTTGAGTCTTTTTCATTTTCTAAGGATGAACCAGAACTACATATGGCTTCAGGTATCCTGCTATTTTAATTTAAAAACCCTAAAATCCTTTTTAAGAAATGAATAGTATTTCATTATCCTATTACATGGTAAACTTTTAAGAACTGTTTTATTTTTCATATACCTACACTGCCAGGTTCAAGATAAGAGTGCCAGTTCAATGACTATTACTGAAGAGCCTGCTATCATTGGACAGACAGTAGAGAGTCTCGTCCAGAGGATTTAGGTCTACTGGGCACTTACTTATGAAATTACATGAATAATTATGTTATACTGAATAAGTTAATAACCATATTTTGTGAAACACTTTGCCCTTATCAAAGATAATTTATGCAAATCTATCACAGTAATTGATAAGAATTCTTTACCATAACTGAAATTATTCTTATTGTTCAACAAACTGAATTACTAATGCTGAAATTTATATTCTAAATACCCTTTAAACCTGAGAAAACAGAGAAATTACATTTGAAGTTGTCAAGCCCTGTCAAGAAAGCACGTGATGAACCCTATAGAATGATATTTTAGATAAATAGTTTGCAGGTTTTCTCTTTTTATAACATTGTCAAAAACATTAAAATAAAATGTAACAGAATTTAATCAATACTCCACATTTCTCAGATTATTTTTGAATTTTCGATATATTCATGATAAGCAATAAATTCCAAGAAATCAAACATGTGTGTTAAAAATACCAAATATTTATTTTAAAACTTAAAAAATAATTATCAGAAAACATTAGGGGAAAAAAGTATGGAAGGCATTTGAAATTCAACTCAGACTCAATTATTTCTCATAAGCACTACAGGATGACCTTCACAGTATGTTCTTGAGGCATATTAAGATTCTGCATAACAGAGAAAATAACACTTTCATTATCCTGTGTTTCTTTTGTAAGGAAGTGGTTTAATTTAACTTATAATGGTTAAAATGCAGGCCTTTTCTTTAACCACTCAAAACCAGAAATAAAATAAAAAAGCAAAATCAGTCTTATGAATGTCTATAAAAAATGTTAAATACGTTATCAACAACCAAAATATATTATAACTATGTTTGGTTTATTCTAGGAATATAAAGATGATTCAATAGTTAGAGAAAGTTAGAGAAAAATCTATCATCATCTCAGAAGATATAAAAAAATAAGGGGGAGGTCCCAAGACAGCTGAATAAGAGGCAGCTCTGGAACACAGCTCTCAGGGAGAGAGATGCAGAAGCTGAGTGGTATTCACAATTCCAAATGGGGTACCAGGTTCATTTTGTGGGTCTAGTTGGACAGTGGATATAAACGAAATAGGGCAAATTGAGGCAAGGTGGAGCACTGCCCGACCCAGGTGGTGCAAGTAACTGACAGGAGGACTGGGGGATCTCTTCCTCTGGGACTTCAGTTTAGACACAGTGCTCCACCCAAGCCCTCTACAACCCACAGAACAGGAGATCTTTGCTGGGTGGAAGAGCCTCAGCAAGCTGCATGAACAGAGCAGAACAGCAACTTTGGCTGGTGCCGGGGCTGCCAGCATAGATCTAAGTGGAAGCACTAGCTGATGTTGAGAAAGCCAAAAAGCCGGTAGGACAGAGCTACCTGCCCTCCAGAAAGAAGGGAAACTGAACCCAGAGAAATAGGCCATAGGGCAGGACAGGTCTCCACCCACAAAGCCTAGCAGGCTAAAAAAACTCACTTCAGAGTTTCGCATACAGAACATCAGTTAGAGAGTAACCAGGAATGAACGAACTCAGCGTGGGGGAAGAGCAGCTGCCATTGCAGAAGCTGTCCTAATTTTCCTGAGCAAATATAAGACAGGAAAAATACGGAGCAGCTCCACTGAATCTGTGGCAGCCCAGAAGCACCTCTGCAGGCAAACAGAGGAAAGGCTGCCTCCCCAGGCAGCTACCAGAGATCAAACCTATATAAATCCAACAAGATGGGAAGAAACCACTGCAATAAGGATGAAAATATCAAAAACCAGAATGCCTCTCCCCCACCATGAGATCACAACTCCTCACCAGCAAGGGAACAAAGCAGGATGGAGAACGAATTTGATGAACTGACAGAAACAGGCTTCAGAAAGTGGGTAATAACAAACTTCTCTGAGTTAAAGGAACATGTTCTAATCCAATGCAAAGAAACTAAAAACCTTGAAAAAAAGGTTTGATGAAATGCTAACTAGAATAACCAGCTTAGTGAAATACATGAATGACTTGATGGAGCTGAAAAACACAGCACGAGAACTTCATGAAGCATATACAAGTTTCAATAGCCAAATAGATAAAGCAGAAGAAAGGATATCAGAGATTGAAGGTCAAATCAATGAAATAAAATAGGAACGCAAGCAAAGAGGAAAAAGAGTGAAAATAAATGAAGAAAGCTTGCAAGAAATATGGGATTATGTGGAAAGACCTAATCTACGCTTGATCAGTGTACTGAAGGAAGATGGGGAGAATGAATCCAAGCTGGAAAACACTCTTCAAGATATTATCCAGAAGAACTTCCTCAGCTTAGCAAGGCAGGCCAACATTCAAATACAGGAAATACAGAGAACACCACAATGATACTCCTCTAGAAGAGCAACTCCAAGGCAAATAATCATGAGATTCACCAGGTTGAAATGAAGGAAAAAATGCTAAGAGCAGCCAGAGAAGGAGAGGTCAGGTCACGCACAAAGGGAAGCCCATCAGACTCACAGCAGCAACCCTACAAGCCAGAAGAGTGGGGGCCAATATTCAACATCCTTAAAGAAAAGAACTTTCGACCCAGAATTTCATATCCAGCCATATTAAGCTTCAAAAGTGAAGGATAAATAAAATCCTTTATGGACAAGAAATTGCTGAGAGATTTCATCAATATCAGACCTGCCCTAAAGAGCTCTTGAAGGAAGCACTAAACACAGAAAGGAAAAATCAGTACCAACCACTGCAAAAAAGAACCAAATGGTAAAAATCAATGATGGAATGAAAAAATTATCCCAACCAAAGGGCAAAACAACCAACCAGTAACGAAATGGTAGAATCAAATTCACATATAACAATATTAACATTAAATGTAAATGGACTAAATGTCCCAATAAAAACACACAGACTGGCAAATTGGATAAAAACTCAAAACCCACCTGTGTGCTGTATTCAGGAGACCCATCTCACATGCAGAGACACACACAGACTCAAAATAAAGGGATGGAAGAAGATTTACCAAGCAAATGGAGAGCAAAAAAAGCAGGGGTGGCAAACATAGTTTCAGATAAAATGTACTTTAAACCAACAAAAATCAAAAGAGACAAAGAAGGGCATTACATAATGGTAAAAGGATCAATACAACAAGAGCTAACTGTACTGTTCTAAACATATATGCACCCAGTACAGGAGCACTCAGATACATAATGCAAGTCATTAATGACCTAGAAAGAGACTTAGACTCCCACACAATAATAATGGGAGACTTGAACACTCCACTGTCAATATGAGACAGATCAATGAGACAAAAAATCAACAAGGAAATCCAGGACTTGAAAGCAGATCTGGACCAAGTGAACTTAATAGACATTTACAGAACTCTTAACCCTAAATCCACAGAATATACATTCTTCTCAGCACCACATCACACCTACTCTAAAATTGACCACATAATTGGAAGTAAATCATGCCTCAGCAAATGCAAAAGGAAATTATAACAAACAGTCTCTCGGACCACAGTGCACTCAAATTAGAACTCAGGATTCAGAAACTAACTCAGAACTGCACAACTTCACGGAAACTGAACAAATGGCTCCTGAATGTTGACTGGATAAACAATGAAATGAAGGCAGAAATAAAGATGTTCTTTGAAACCAACAAGAATGAAGACACAACATAACAGAATCTCTGTGACACATTTAAAGCAGCGTCTAGAGGGAAATTCATAACAATAAATGTCCACATAAGGAGCAAGGAAAAATCCAAAGTTGACACCCTATTATCAAAATTGAAAGAATTAGAGGAGCAAGATCGAAGAAACTCAAAAGCTAGCGGAAGGCAAGAAATAACTAAGATCAGAGCAGAACTGAAGGAGATAGAGACACGAAAAATCTTTCAAAAAAATCAACAAATCCAGGATCTGGTGCTTTAAAAAGATCAACAAAATAGATAGATCGCTAGCCAGACTAATTTAAAAAAGAGAGAGAGAGAGAAAATAAGGATATAGATGCAATGAAAAATGATAAAGGGGACGTCACAAGCAATCCCAGAAATACAAACTACCATCAATGATTACTACAAACAACTCTATGCACACAAACAAGTAAATCTGAAGAAGTGGACAAATTCCTAGACACTTACACCGTCTCAAGTCTAAACCAGGAAGAAGTCAAAACCCTGAATAGACCAATAACAAGGGCTGAAGTTGAGGCAGCAATTAAGAGCTTACCAATCAAAAAAAGTCCAGGTCCAGACAGGTTTACAGCTGAATTCTACCAGACATACAAAGAGGAGCTCATACCATACCTTCTGAAACTATTCCAAACAATACAAAAAGAGGGAATCCTCCCCTACTCATTTTATGAGACCAAAATCATACTGATACCAAAACCCAGCAGAGACTCAACAAGAAAAGAAAACTTCAGGCCAATATCCATGATGAACATAGATGCAAAAATCTTCAATAAAATACTGGCAAACTGAGTGCAGCAGCACATCAAAAGCTTATTCATCATGATGAAGTATGCTTCACCCCAGGGATACAAGGCTGGTTCAACATACACAAGTCAATCAATGTAACCCATCGCATAAACAGAACCAAAGATAAAAACCAGAAGATTATCTTAATAGATGCAGAGAAGGCCTTTGACAAAATTCGACAGTGCTTTATGCTAAAAACTTCCAATAAACTAGGTATTGATGGAATGTATCACAAAATAATAAAAGCTGTTTATGACAAACCCACAGCTATATCATACTGAATGGGCAAAAACTGGAAGCATTCCTTTGAAATCTGGCACTAGACAGGATGCCCTCTCTCACCACTCCTATTCCATATAGTATTGGAAGTTCTACCCAGAGAAATTGGGCAAGAAAAAGAAATAAAGAGTATTCAGTTAGGAAAAGATGAAGTCAAATTGTCTCTATTTGCAGATGACATGATTTTATACCTAGAAGACCCCATCATCTCAGTCCAAAATCTCCTGAAACTGGTAAGCAACTTGAGCAAAGTCTCAGGATACAAAATCAATGTGCAGAAATTACAAGCATTCCTATACACCAACAACAGACTTAAAGAGAGGCAAATCAAGAATGAATTGCCATTCACAATTGCTACAAAGAGAATAAAATACCTAGGAATACAATTAACAAATGATGTAAAGGACCTGTTCAAGGAGAACTACAAATCACTGCTCAATGAAATAAGAGAGGACACAAACAGGTGGAAAACCATTTCATGCTCACGGTTGGGAAGAATCAATATCATGAAAATGGCCATACTGCCCAAAGTAATTTATAGATTCAATGCTATCCCCATCAAGCTACCAATGACCTTCTTCACAGAACTGGAAAAAAACACTTCAAACTTCATATGGAACCAAAAGAGAGCCTGCATAGCCAAAACAATCCTAAGCAAAAAGAACAAGGATGGAGGCATCATGCTGCCCAAATTCAAACTATATTACAAGGCTGCAGTAATCAAAACATCATGGTACTGGTATCAAAACAGAGACATAGACCAACGGAACAGAACAGAGGCCTCAGAAGCAACACCACACATCTATAATCACCTGGTCTTTGACAATCCTAACAAAAACAAGCAATGGGGAAAGGATTCCCTGTTCAATAAATGGTGTTGGGAAAACTGGCTAGCCATGCACAGAAAGCAGAAACTGAACCCCTTTCTGACACCCTACACTAAAGTTAACTCCTGATGGATTAAAGATCTAAACATATGATCTAACACCATAAAACCTTAAAAGAAAACCTGGGCAAAATCATTTAGGACCTAGGCATAAGTAAGAACTTTATGGCTAAAACACTAAAAGCAATGGTAACAAAAGCCAAAGTAGACAAATGAGATCTAACTAAATTCCAGAGCTGTACAGAAAAAGAAACAATCACTACAGTGAACTGGCAACCAACAGAATGGGAACAAATTTTTGCAATCTACTCAACTCACAAAGGGCTAATATCCAGAATCTACAAAGAACTGAAACAGATTTACAAGAAAAAAAAAAACCCATTCAAAAGTGGGCAGAGGATAGGAACAGACACTTTCCAAAAGAAGACATATATGAGGCCAACAAACATATAAAAAGTGTTCATCATCACTGGTCATTAGAGAAATGCAAATCAAAACCACGTTGAGATACTGTGTCACACCAATTAGAATGGCGATCACCAAAAAATCTGGAGACAACAGATGCTGGAGAGGATGTGGAGAAATAGGAATAATTTTACACTGTTGGGAGTGCAAATTAGTTCAACCATTGTGGAAGACAGTGTGACGATTCCTCAAGGACATAGAAATAGAAATTTCATTTGACCCAACAATCCCATTACTGCATATATACCCAAAGAATTATAAATTGTTGTATTATAAAGACACATGCACATGTATGTTCATTGAGGCACTGTTTACAATAGCAAAGACTTGAAACCCACCCAAATGTCCATCAGTGATAGACTGAATAAAGAAAATGTGGCACATATACAACATGGAATAGTATGCAGCCATAAAAACGATGAGTTTGTGTCCTTTGTAAGGACATGGATGAATCTGGAAACTGTCATTCTCAGCAAACTGACACAAGAACAGAAAACCAAACACCGCATCTACACACTCATAGGCGGATATTGAACAATGAGAACACATGGACTCAGGGAGGGGATCATCACACACTGTGGTCAGCTGGGGAGTCTGGGGGAGGGACAGTGGGGAGTGGGGAGGGTGGGGAGGGATAATGCAGGGAGAAATGCCAGATATAGGTGATGGGGGGATGAAGGTGATAAACCACCTTGCCATATATGTACCTATGCAACAATCCTGCAAGATCTGCACATGTGCCCCAGAACCTAAAGTAGAATAAAAGAAAAATGAAAAAAAAAAAAAGAAATTGATAAAATTGTCTACCTTTATGTTAAAAAGAGGAATTAATAAATACTTGTTCAACATAATAGCTTTATGTGTAATGAAGCTAACATCTTATTCAATTGAGACAACTGAAAGAAGCTTTTCCACTGAAATCCAGAAAAAGAAAGATATCTCAAATCTCCACTACTTTTTAATATGAAGAGGTAATACATAATTTAATGAAGAAAAAAATTCTAATTACAGGCATTATAAAAACAATGTAAAACTATTTGAAGATAATGTGAGTACAGATTTGGTAAAACCTAAAGAATCTGTTGAAAAAATACCGTAATTCCAGGAACAAAAAAATAGTAGCTGCATTTATGAAAAGAACATACTAAAATCAGTGTCCTATAAAATCCAGTAACCACTGTGAAAACATAGATGAAAGAAATCCATACTTATAGATAGTTAACAAACAAACAAAAAGAAAGAAAGAAAACTAGACAGAAACTCAACAAGTGCCCCAAGCCAGTACAGGAAAAAAAAAAAGAAAACTGACCAAAAACTTAATAACATTAATTTGATCATGTTCTTGCGTAAGAAAACTAAGTGTCATAAAGGTAAATTCTACCTAAGTTAAATGACAAACTAGGACATAATTTAGATGTAAAAGCTATATCAGATTGTTTCATTTCTTTTGTTTGTAGTGAGTCAGCCTGAATAATGTATTATAAAGTTATTTGGAAGGACAGGAGTGAGAACAGCTCTGTAAACATTGAGAAGACAGAAATACAAAATGATTCAATCTTATTAAGGGAGCTGGATTTATTCTAGGTCAATTTCTCTGAAAGTATCTTACTATATTTTTTAAACTTTATAAATTTAAATAAATAAAATTCAAAAATTTAAAAAATCTGCACATTTTTGCTTCAAAGAGACATTTATGAACAGAGTGTGGAAAAAAGTCTGCAGGGAAGTCAATACATTTTGTAGTCTTTCAGGTTTAATATCTCTAGTTTCCAAAAAGCAAATGAAAATTAAGTATAGGAAAGAAAGACTTGAAAATATGGGAATCTGTAAAAATTCACATGAAAGAAGTGGTAAATGTTTGTATACATAGCACATACGTAACTCTAAGATATCAGTGATAGCTGTTACTTGCAGGACTCCAGAGACAAGTAATATTTTCATAGGTGAAATTATCAAAAGAGAAACATTTAGAAAGCAATAGAACAAAACAGACAGTCTCTATAACTATGATTATTTGTGTCTTTAGTGTCTGCTTATCTCTTTTGCCGTATCATATTAAGGTGGCATGATGAAGTTGCACTATGTATGGAAGGTACACTTGAAGTAGTAAATTTAAATGTTGGTTGCTAACTTATAAACTTTATTTTAAGTTAACCAGGTGAAGAACATATTTTAAAGCTTTTGAGAAGTTAAAATAAAAATTAGTATTAAAGGCCAGTCACAGTGGCTCACACCTGTAATCCCCGTAATTTGGGAGGCCAAGGTAGGTGGATCATCTGAGGTCAGGAGTTTAAAACCAGCCTAGCCAGCATGGTGAAACCCCATCTCTGCTAAGTACAAAAAATTAGCCAGGCATGGTGGTGGGTGCCTGTTATCCTGGTTACTAGGGAGGCTGAGGCAGGAGAATTGCTTGAACCCAGAAGGCAGAGATTGCAGTGAGCTGAGATCTTGCCATTGCACTCCAGCCTTGGCAGAGTAGTGAAACTCTGCCTCAAAGAAAAAAAAAATAGCATTAAAACACGATATTCTGTGAATGATAAGGAAGTGAATGGCACCAAATATTCACTAATTTGAAATTGTTAATTTTAATTGAATGCACATATTTCCTCAGAGAATGTCCTTAAGAAATGATGTCAGACAAAGTAATACAAGTAAGTGTTAGTTCCACATTGATAAATGGGAGCAAGAGTCTCTCACAGGAATTTTGTAAGAGTAAATGAAGAAACATAGATAAAACACTGTATAGTGCCTGCAATTGGTGTTCTTTAAATGGTTAGAGTGTTTGTTATTTTTAAATCATTATTATCATTTAAAGAGAAGGAGAGGGAGATACAGAGAAAAAATAGCTCCAAATAATGAAACAGTCCAATAACACTATAGGACAGAATATGGGAAACTACACTGTTAATTCACACCGATTGAAAAACGAAATGAAATTCCATACCTTTAAACGTAAATTGAGATGTTTGGGCAGAATTCCTTTTCTTTGACTGTATATTCAGTGTCATGTAGCTTTCTTCATCTTGCATCTTCAATATCAGTGAATGCGTGTGTATACAGGTATATTTTGTTTTATTAAGTAAAATATAAAATGAGGAAAGAATACTAAATCTGCTGCTAGTCAGAAAAGCACCTCAAATTGTCCTTTCTCAGTACGTATGATGGTTCACAGTTTCATTTGTTTGTGAAAACCTCAAAGGAAATGTTTTCTACTTAAAAGTTGCTTTCCCATAACAGATAACACATAATTTCTCAACTGTCCACCACATATTGAATTGAATATTTTTCAAGGTGCTTTACAAATTTCTCTTAATTTACCCTTAAAGTCAAGGGAATGGAAATTAACTCCCTTTTTCAGGTGAGATAAATAATATATAGTTGTCTTTTATTGTAGCCTAATTATTTATATTGTTTGAATTACACTCCCTAACATATTGGTACTTAAGTTAATAATTTGCAATTGCCAAACAATTAAATTCTTTATCCTAAAACAACATCGTTTATAAATCATTCTAATAATTTAACAATATAATTTGATTTTTTTAACGTTTAGGTTCAGGGGTACATGTGCAGGTTTGTTTTATAGACAAAAATCACATCACAGGGGTTTATTGTACATACTATTTTATTACCCAGGTATTAAGACTAGTACTAAATAGTTACGTTTTTCTGATTCTGCCCCTCCTCCCATCCTCCACCCTCAAGTAGGCACCAGTGTCTGTTTTGTCCTCTATGTGTACATGTGTTCTCATCATTTAGCTCCCAATTATAAGTGAGACAATGTGGTATTTGGTTTTCTGTTACTCCATTAGTTTGTTAAGGATAACGGCCTCTAGCTTCATCCATGTTCCTGCAATGGACATCATCTCATTCTTATTTTATAACTGCACAGTATTTCATGGTGTACATGTATCACATTTTCTTTATCCATTCTACCATTGATGGGAATTGAGGTTGATTCCATGACTTTGCTATTGTTAACAGTGCTGCCATGAACAAATGAAATGCATGCATGTGTCTTTGTGATAGAAAGATTTATATTCCATTGCATATATATGCAGTGATGGAATTGCTGGGTTGAATGGTATTTCTGGTTTTAGGTCGTTAAAGAATTACCATACTATCTTTCACAGTCATTGAACAATTTACACTCCCATCAATGGTGTGTTAAGTCTCAGGATACAAAATCAATGTGCAAAAATCACAAGCATTCCTACAGGTCATACCACCATGCCCAGCTACTTTTGTATTTTTAGTAGAGACAGGGTTTCACCATGTTGACCAGGCTAGTCTTGAACTCCTAACCTCTTGATCCACCCACCTCGGCCTCCCAAAGTGCTGGGATTACAGGTGTGAGTTACCATGCCCGGCAAATTTATTTCTAATGTAATCTTTCTATCTGCTTGCTTTAGGCTTAGGTTATTGTACTTTTTACTTTAATATTATTATTCCTTCAGGTAGAAGCTTAGGTTATTATTTGAGATTTCTTCTATTTTAAGAGTATAGCTTTATATGTATAAATATTGCTATAAGAATTGCTTTATTTGCATGCCATAATTTTTATATGTTATCTTTTTCACTGTCGAAAAGTGTTTTCTAATTTCCCTTGTGATTTTGATCCATTGATAAACCTAGCTGTAAGTTAAGTTCTGCACACTTGTAAATGACAAAAATTCTATGTTTTTTGATATCTAATTTCATTCCATTGTAGTAGGAAGACATAATTTGTATGATTTTAATTTTTTTTTAATTTGTTGAGGCTAGCCCAGGTCTCTTATATTGGCTGTTCATTTAATATTTTACAGACTTTTACTTTCAACCTATTTTTATCTGAATCTGAAGTTTCTTATGTAAATGGCATATAGTTGAATTGTGTTCATTTAATCTAGTTTGACAATCTGAGCCTTTTGGTTGCTTAATCCATTTCCTTTTAATAGAACTATTAACATGGCTGGTTTTATGTCTGCCATTTTACAGTTTTCTGTGTGTCTCATGCCATTTTTATTTCTGTTTTCTATTTTTTTAGAAACAGTTTCTGATGCTGTTGCTTGGACTGGAGTATAAAGGCGTAATCATGGCTCATTGCAACCTTGACCTTTTGGTCTCAAGCAATCCTTCTGCTTCAGTCTTCTTAGTAGCTGAGACTACAGGCACATGCCACTGTGTCTGGCTAGCTTTTAAAAGCATTTTGTCGAGACAGGGCCTTGATCTGTTGCCCAGGCTGGTCTCAAACTCCTGACATCAAGTGACTCTTATGCCCAACTTATCAAAGTGCTTGGATTACAAGTATGAGCCACCATGCCTGGTCAATGTCTTCTGTTTTCTATTTACTTAATTATTTTTGGCATTAATATAGTATCTCCTAGTTTAACATTTGAATTTCTTTAAAGATTTTTTTAGTACAATGTTCAGGTTTCTTTTTAGTGTTTATTACAGGGCTTATAATGTACAATTAACTTATAAGAATCCATTTGAGGGTGGCTCGGAGGAACCTCTCGCTTCCCTGTCACCAGGTCCCCGAGGAGGAAGGGGAGGGACGAGCGCGGCTTCTCCTGTGCCTCCTGCGCGGCCTGCAGCTTCTCGGGAACTCGAGGGTCTCGGCCGGGCCTGGCTCTGCCCGCAGCCTGGTGGGAGCTGGACTGGAGCGGCTTGGGACCACAAGCCCGAGGAAGAGCCTGCGGGAAGGGGAGGAGGGAGCGCCTCGGACCGTCGGAAGGGCCCTGCGTTGGGACCAGGATATATTTCTGAACACAATTCAACTATATACCATTTACATAAGAAACTTCAGATTCAGATAAAAATAGGTTGAAAGTAAAAGTCTATAAAATATCAAATGAACAGCCAATATGAGAGACCTGGGCTAGCCTCAACAAATTAAAAAAAATTAAAATCATGCAAATTATGTCTTCCTACTACTGGCGGAAAGCGAGACCCCGGCGCCGAGTGAGGAAGACGCTATGAAAATTTGATTCTACCAGATGTAAAGGAAAAAACATTTAAGGCCAAGCTGATCAGTCCTGGACATTTAAAGGACTTTTTCCCCCTTTACTTTTCAAATTTAAGCAAAGAGGCTTTTGAAAAACCATGGCAGATGTGGACCCAGGTACTTTGCTGGAATGGCTGCAGATGGGACAGGGAGATAAAAGGGACATGCAACTAAAAGCCCTTGAACAGCTATGCATGCTGCTTTTGATGCCTGGCAACGTGCATCGTTGCTTTGAAACATGTCCTCCTCCAACTTTCTTACCAGCTCTCTGTAAAATTTTTCTTGATGGAAGTGCTCCAGACAATGTATTAGAAGTGACAGCCTGTGCCCTAACATACTACCTGGATGTATCTGTGGAATGTACTCGAAGGATTGTTGGGGTAGATGGAGCTATAAAAGCACTTTGTAATCGGTTAGTTGTAGTTGAACTTAACAACAGGACTAGCAGAGACTTAGCTGAACAATGTGTAAGGGTAACAGAACGGATATGTACTCGTGAGTCGGGAGCAGTCTTTGAGGCTGGGCTTTTGAATTGTGTGCTTCCCTTCATTCGTGACAGTGGACATCTAGTTCATAAAGACACCTTGCACTCTGTCATGGCTGTGGTATCAAGACTCTGTGGCAAAATGGAGCCTCAAGATTCTTCTTTAGAAATTTGTGTAGAATCTCTGTCTAGTTTATTAAAACATGAAGATCATCAGGTTTCAGATGCAGCTCTGCGATGCTTTGCATCACTGGCTGACTGATTTACCTGTCGTGGTGCTGACCCAGCTCCGTTAACCAAGCATGGATTAACCGAGGAGCTGCTCTCTCCAATGGCTGCTGCCGGAGGTACTGTATCAGGACCATCATCAGCATGCAGACTGAGTCGCAGCACCACAGAAGCTCCTACCACAACTGCAGATTCCAAATTGAGTAATCAGATGTCAACAATTGTAAGTCTGCTCTCAACACTTTGCAGAGGCTCTCCGGTAGTAACACATGATCTCCTGAGGTCAGAGTGTCCAGATTCAATCAAAAGTGCATTGCAGGGTGATGAAAGATATGTGCTTGATACTAAGCGTTTGGTTGACCTTCTCTTGGTGCTGCTATTTGAAGGACAAAAAGCTTTGCCAAAGTCCAGTGCTGGATCTACAGGCAGAATCCCAGGACTCCGGAGATTAGGTAGTTCTGGAGAGCGCTCACATCAGCAGCTTATAGATTGTATTCGAAGTAAAGATACTGATGCACTTATTGATGCAATTGACACAGGAGGTCAGAAAATGTTTTTTTGAATATAAAAAGAAAGTTGTGAGATAAGCATATGTTAAGTTTCTAGTTTTTGGATAGTGCTCTTAGAAATTGTGCCAGATAACAAAGTAGCACCCCTTCAATATTCTCCACTCTGCCTATGTTTAATTATATAATTATCAGCTTGGTTCATGGTGAAACCTGAATAAATGCTTGTTGACTGGGTAAAACTTAAAAAAAAAAAAAAGAATCCATTTGAGATGTATGCTACCTTAATTTCAGTTGGATCTAGAAATATCACTCTTAGACAATTCTAATTCTTTTGCCTTTTTTGATACTATATATGCATATTATGTCTTTCTATGTTACCGACCAAACAGTAAATTATTATGTTATTACTTCCTATAATTTTGTCTTTTAAAAAAGAGAACAAGTATAGATTTACAGACTTCCCTATATTAACCTTCTTATTTACTATTCTGGGTTTTCCTTTTTTCTTCTTCAAGTTATTATCTTCATTTCTTTTTTACTCAGGTATCTGATACAATTTACTTACTCCAATGTAAGTTTTTCTCTCATTTTCCTCCATTGTGCAGCTATCGTCAAACACATTACATTTCTATTTGTTAAACACTCAACACTACAATTGTTTGCATGTTGTTTTACACAACTGACTTCTAATAAGAGAGAAAAGAAATATGCAATTATACTATCTTGCATGCTTACCTACATATTTACCAACACTCTTTGTTTGTTCCTGTTGATTCAAGTTACTGTTGTGTCACTTTCTTTCACACTTAAGAATATTTTTTAGTATTTCTTATGAAGCAGGTCCACTATCAATGGCTTTTCTCAGTTTACTTTTTTGAGGGAAGAGGTGTTCATTTCACTGTCATGTTTGAAAGATAATATAAATAGTGAAACCAGACATAAGACTTAGTTGACAGAGTTTTTTCATTCTTAAAATTTAATTTTCATTTTTACTCAGCACACTGAATAAATATGTCATTCCCATGTTAACTGTTATTAGCTAATAAGAACAACAATCAAGCAAAAAGTAAAGATGGGTCAGGACATTTCAACTTACAGTACTAATTTCTTATTAGGAACTGGATTGTATTTATAGGGACTAAAAGGGATAACTATATTTCCCCTCCAATAAGAATGCTTCTGTTTTGATATATTGGTGTATTTTGTATGTGTGTACTTCTTTTTTTAACTAAAGTAAAGCTTTCATACAGCTCAGTGTATAAAATGCACCAATTTGAACTGTGCAGTTTAATACATTTGTTGTATGTATTAATCCATGTAATCACCATCCTGATACATTTGTGGAATAGATCCAGCACCATAGAAAACTCTTTTATGTGCTTCTTCCTGGTTAATACTTTTACCCCAATGTATTTGTTATAAAATATATTCAGTTAAAATTAACCTGCTTAAAGATCAATGACAAGATGGTAAGAAAATAGTAGGCTCAAAAAAGACCCACATCCTCCACAAAAGCAGGTGTGAATGCTCATAGTTGTTTCTCCACGTACCGCAGAAGGCTGCAATCATGCAGCCTTGGGTTGGGACACTTTTGAGTCAAAGAGCATTAGGCAAGAATGGGCAGAGTGCAATTTTTGGAATTCACTTGGGGTGGCTGGCAAAATAGTAAAGAAATATTAGGGAAAGTTATAGATTAGTCTCAATCATTTTGGAAGGCTGAAAGGTTTAATTGGGGCGGGTTGAAGGCAGTCAGTCCATTAAGTTAGGGAGAAGGTAGGGACAATAAGAGACTTTCCTGGTTTAAGTCTATTTACCCCACATCCCTTTGCCTCTACTCTGCTTACTCATGTAAACTTTGTGCTGGATGGTCCTCTCAGGGGGATATCAAAGAGGAATTACTTGTTTATAGTGTTAACTCTGGGCCCTGAACCTAAAGCTTTTATCATTTGTAAAACCGCTCTTTAACCATGTTAATTATCCACAAGTATGTTGTCTTATAATCTCTGTTTTAAAAACTTTTACTGAATAAAAGTGTGGATGTACAGGGAGTCTTGGTCAATTGGCTGCTTGTCACCCTTGGAAAGCAGCTGATGACCATCACAAGCCCACTTGAGTCACTGTAATGGTGTGAGAGTCTATTCATTCATCCATCTTTGAGTTAGGGTCTGCAGGCCAGAGCTCCACAGGTGGTGGCTGATGTCTCATGCAATATTAAAAATATAGTTAGCTAAGTCTTAGTATATATCCATATGTATAATATAAGTAAGGAGACAAGTCATGCAGGAATGACCTCATATTCTTGGTGTTAAAACAAGAATATGTTTCCAATGGTTTTGGAAAACAGTGAAGATACTATCTAAATGGTTTTCACTGAGATGTATGGTACAGGATACTATAATAACTACATGAAAGCAGTGTTACCTCAGGTTACATGTCATTAGTTGGGAGAGAGATTGTTTTCTATACTCCAGAATCTTTTGCATTTGATTCCCTCTTATTCCACTTTTTATAAATGGTTATGTAAATATATTAAATGTATAGATAAAATACAACTTGGATAGCTAATACACTGAGTAATAGAATCATAAACTCCAAACATTCTGAATTTCAGAGAAAATTGAGAATTTAACAAGATGAATTTTTTAAATGTGTATTGAAATCTAAAATGAAAAAGTTAACAGGATGGGGATAATTTCTTTTATTCATAGAGGTATGCAAGAGCACTAGGGGAAGTTCAGTGACCAACAAGCTCAATAGAAGACAAGATTATGTGAAGTGATAAATCTTAGGTAAAATCAAAACAAGTATATCTAAAAAGAAAGAGTGGATTTTTTTTTCCCTCCACTCCTGGCCCAGTTCTTTGAAATAATCTTTATGTGATTGTTTCAAATGATCTTAACTTTCTGTTTGTTTTCCTCTGCAATCGTGCACATACATAAATTCCTATTTTTAAGAGTCCAGAGGAGAACACACAGGAAGTTGAATTAGTTGAAACCATAACTTAAGTATTCTTTCCAGGAACTAAAGCTACTTAGCCAGAATCAGAAAAAGGGATGCTGGGAATAAGTTTGTTAACTTAAATTGTTCCAACAGCTGTCATATCAAGAAGATGTTACACTTGATTTACTGGCTCCAGAAGGGAGACCTGATACAAGTTCTTGAAAGAACCATCCATATACACCAGTTAATCTTGATTATGTTGTGAGATTTTGTGTAGTGTTGAAAGAGAAATTATTATTGCTGTTGAAAAAGCTATGGTTAATTGAATTTAAGCTTAGGTTAAGAAAACTGATTTAAAAAAATAGGTTCTAATTTCCAAAGTTGTTATTCTATTGATAAATCTGTTTTTTAGAGAAAACAATTCTGTTTTATTGGATATAAAACTACTGTTTTGAAAAATATTGATTGTAGCTATGGATCAATGTAAGTTTCTAACAAAATCACTCCATGAATAAATCAAATATTTATTTATTTACTTGAAGTATATGGAAGGAGAATGACTTAAAGATCAATTAGCAAGGTTGATAAATCAGCAAGAAACAAGCTTTTTAAGCCTACATTTCATCACTGCATTACTGAAACTCACAGCTGTGAATGACATCATTTTCAATAGTGAGTGTCAAGATAGATTTTCTACAAGCATGAGGGTTTTTCTCTAGGAACAATTCTGTTTGTAGGTCATCCTGGATATATTCAAGGGACCATTATTCTTGGAGTTATACAATATAACTTTATGTTCTCATAATCAAATGTGAATGCAATTCTTATACTTTATCTGAGTCCTCTCAAATTAACAACTTTGTCCAAGTATATTCTCAAAATTAGAGTTTCTGAGCCTGAACAGAAGTTAGGCTCCCAGAAATGGCAGGGAGCTGTGTTAATAAGCAGTTAGAATAACCAGGGCTTATCTTTGGTGTGTCCTTTGATAAATTTAAACAAATTATATTCTTCTCCAAAATAGGTTTGATTCACAAACTTAATGACTATATGCTTAAATTTTCACCCATAGTTTAATGAAATGTTTGTTTTTAAAAGACCTTTAAAGTCTGAAATAGAATCCCAAAACAGTCTGACATGTAATAAGTCCTCAGAAAATAATTCATAAATATTGAATGATGAGTAGGATATTAAAATGTGGTCATTCCTGTGGTTTACTTTTATCTGAGGGCACAAATATCAAGAACAATTCTATAGGTGCTAGACCTCATATATAGGACATGCTAACAAACTTGCAAAAGTGTTTTTTCAGATTTTAGTCTATCATCTGCTTTCAGAGCAAATTAAGAGTTTATGAGTGTTCAGAAATTAGGAAGTGAGAATTTTTTTAATGAAGGGACTTGCCAGTGTAGTTCACATTTCCCGTCACCTTTCTGTGTCAATAAGCAGAAGAACTTCTCTTTTATCTTAAGCCAAGTTCTGATTCTAAGGTATACTGGCAAGTGTTCTCTGGGAGTTGGAAGTTGCAGAGTTGAACACTTTCAGTGTGTGAGGTTGTTAGAACTACACATAACCACAGAGTAAAATTGGACGTGTAAAGTAAAGCCACACTTCCAGCAATGGTGAGGCTGAAGGGAGTGTTTCCTATGGGCTGAATGTGGATCTCACACAGAGCAGCCAGTCAGGAACCATCCCAAAATAAAATTCACCTGAGGGTGTCCTACCACAGGCAAGTCAACCTCAATGAAAACAAGCTGCAAGTGTAGAGTAGGAAGAAAAAAAGCTGGTATATGGGGAGTTGTGTAGGGTGAGGCACAGTGATATGTAAGCAGGATTGATAAAGGGGGCATTACACATCAGACAACTGCAGAATACCCCGGGAGCAGAATTTCCGAAAAACCCATAGAAGCAGTCCAAAAAAAAAAAGAAAGGCAACATTTGGAGTGTCAGCATACAGATTAAAACTGTCCAGTCTGGTAACACCTTTCTTCCATGTTGATTTCCATTCCCTGTGTTTCATCTTCACTCATTCTGGGGATCAGGGTTGGGGAATGGAAAGAGATACTAGAGAGGGAGTCACGCAGAGCCCATTACACTCACTTGCCCCCTTAATGGT